CAGTGGCGTGGCGTGCGTCTACAGTGGTGGCCAGTGCGGTGCTAGCGTAGCTGTGCGTGTGTGCTAGCGTGGTATGTCGTGCGGCTAGCATGGTGTGCGTTCGCGTGTAGGTGCGTGTCGTGCAAGTGCTAGCATGAGCTGTGTGTGCGTGCTAAAGCGTGGTGTGCGTAGCGTGATACGCGTGGGGTGATATCTGTGCTACATAGTGTGCTGTGTGTGGCTTAGCGTGGTTTGAGCGTGCGTGCTAGCGCGTGGTGTGCGTAACGCGTGGCTAGCATGGATGTGCGGAGCGTGCCTTAGCATGCGTGTGCGCGCGTGCTAGCGTGGGTGCGAGTGCGCAGCTCATAATCGTGCGTATGCGCGTGTACATGCTGCACAGTGCGTGCTTGCAATATAGGTCGTCGCGTGAACAGCACATTGCTGTATTAAGCATGGACGCTGCGTGCATGCCACCGTGGTTGTATTAGCAATGGCGTTGCGTGCCACGACACATTGCCTATATCTGCGACAGAAGCAGGCCAGAATTCTCATCCGCTCATGCCGCATGCCCCGCGGATGGCTTTTAGATTGCATTCGCGTTGCTATTATTCACAGTTGTTCGAGCCTTGAAGTGAGGTCACCTAAAACCACGCCTCCCCGCTAATGAGGCTCACTTCGTGGGGATACGGAGCGAAGAGAATGCGATCTAGGATTGGGTGCTAGAATGGAATGGGGGAGGTGATGGGTGATGAAGGATGGATGGTGAGGGCATGGGTGGTGAGGGATGGGTGGTCCGAAGGGAATGGATTGGGAGGAGGGATTTGGTGGTCAGACGGGATGGGTGGTGGAGGGATGGGGGTAAGGGGGATGAGGTTGGTGGAGGGATAGGTGGTGGAACGGCGACTGGTGTGGAGGGATAGATGGGGAGGGATGGTGGTGGGAAAGGGATGGATGGGAGAGGGATGGTGGTGAAGGAATGGATGGGGGGAGTGGATGAATGGGGAGGGATGGTGGCTGGATCGGGATGGGTGGTGAGGGGATGGTGGTGGAGGAATGGATGGGGGAGGGATGGACTGGGGAGGGATTGGGTCGGTACTGACGACAGGGAAGGGTGGAGAGCGGAATGGGCTGGTGAGGTATGGATGGGGGGAGGCAATGGGGAGTGGTGGAGGGACCTGGGTTGGTGGAGGGATGGCGTGGTGACGGGATCTGGATGAGGAGGGAATGGTGGTGAACGGGATTGGGGTGGTAGAGGAATGGCATGGGGGATGAGATGGGTGTGGAGGGATGGGTGGAGGAGGAGGATGCGGTGTGACGGGATGGATGGGCGGGATGGGATAGGGTGTAGGAGGGAATGGATGGGGAAGGATGGTGGTGGAGGATATGGGGTCGGTGGAGGAGGATGGATGGAAGAAGGGATGTGATGGGGAGGGGATGGGTGGTGGAGGGGACTGGAGCAGACCTGGGGGAAGGATGGGTGATGGAGTGGGATGGATGGGGGAGGCGATGGACTAGGTGAACGGGAATGGATGGAAGTATGAAATGGGGAAGGATGAATTGCGGAGGTGATGTATTGGGGATGGATAGATGGAGAGGAATGAATTTGAGCGAGATCGGGCAGTGAGGGAGGGGTGGCAGGGTGGAACTGGCCAAGGAAGGGTGATGGGTTGATGGCCGCAGTGATGATGGGAGAGATCGAAGTTGTGGTGATGAATAGTTGATGGATGGATGGGGGCAGGGATGGAATTAGTGTTAGGGACAGAGGCAGAGCAACAGTAGCGCGAATTCTTCATCACGTGTCATTCATTATCAATAGCGAAAATCAGAGAGGCATCGGAAAAAGGAAAAAAAGCGTGCTGGACGAGCGCAAAAAAAAGAGAGGAGACGAGAGAGCGCGCGGCCGCCGGAGCGAAGAGCGAGCAAGAAAAGATCGGCATTAGCGCTCTATTGTACGAAGCGAACGACTACTTGCCAAACTTCTCATCATACCTGGTAGGCAGTCGGTCGCCTTGTTCTTGACTTTTGTTCCATTCCACAAATTTCCTAGGCTCAAAGGAGCGTCACCAAGGTCTGCAATTAAGAACAAGTAAACAGGCGATTAATTACGTTTTAAGCGTTTAACCGACGAACTTCTCTTAATCTCCTCTCTCTCTCATCTCTCTCACATATATATATGTATATATACCTGTAATCTGTATAATTGTGTTCAGTTTGAACCATTGTTAGATCTACTAACTTTTCAACTAGCGTGCAATTAGTGTGGAATTATATAGTACGTCATTACTAATTAGCCGACACAAAGAGACCAGCAGTTACACTCTGCAAGCTACCCGCCACCAGCATGCAGCAGCAGAGCATCCTGCTAGCTAACTAGACAACATAAGGCTTCCGTGTTCTCGACGTTGTATAACTATACCTAACTAAGAGTTGTGCAACCAGAACCTCGGTGCTCCTTTTACTGAATAGTTAACGGTTGAATTCTTCTTCCTGTGATCTGTTTTCGTTGCGAGACGCGGGAGAGGGCGGGACTACTCTAACTATAGCCGAAATTCTATAAAGTTTGTTTACCAACGAGTGGCCGTGTGCGTGCTTAGCAAAACGCGCTGTGAGCGGAAGAAGGTAAACAAAGGCCTGCAAACGCGGAAAAGTGCAAATATATTCTAATAACGTGTTATGCCGTGCGTGGGCGTTGCGGAGCTGCACTATAAATTGGCAGCTAGAGTTTCTAAGCGCGCGAACAGATGTTTACACATTCCGAGGGAGAAGGGAGAATAGGGGTGTGAGAGGAGAGAACGAGAGCTAGAGAGAGA